GCGCGAGCGAGGCTACGGCGTGTGGGGTTGTCGGATAGGGATGTTGGCGGAGTGGATGAAGCCGAAGAAGCAGAAGGGAGAGGCCCTGTGAGTGTACTGGTGGTGGTACAAAGTCATGTTCGCGTTGGCATTGGCAAAACCGGTTTCAGAGCGCTGAAATATAAGCGTACGTATTCTCACCCTATTTGGAGATGATGTTGCTAATTTCTCTTCAGAGCGGGGTACAGACGATGGATCACCAACGTACAATGCTTCATATCTGTCATTTTGGCGATCATTACAATCATTGTTTTAGCCTTTGGAGAAAACCCAACAGACGAAAAAGGATATCTAATAGCTCCTGGCCGATCGCTTATCGTGTGCCGGATGATTGGTGCTGACATTGCGGTGGGGGTAATTCTGTCATTATCGCAATGTTGGAAAGCAAAGCTTGACGACATGATCGATGAAGCGACGAACGATACACCGTTACAAGCTCAACAGCGAACAATGGCCTATCATTCAGCCGAGGTTCCGCAACAAGAATTGGTTGAGCAGGCTTCTACCGCTGAACTTCAGCGACAAGATTCGACCGAGCTATTGTCGCACAACTCCCCTTCGCGCGGCGCCTCCGGCCGCGCGACTAACCAGGGTCAGTCCGCGGCTGTTTGTAGAGCGGGGCCTTGTGTGGGGCGAGCGAGGAGCGGGATGTAGGTGTAGAGCGGTAACGAGCAGTAAACAGTGAAAAGTAAACTTGGTTCCTTGTTCTTTGTAGTAGGTGGGAAATATACGACTGAGAAACTAATGCGCCGGGCTAAAACGGGGAAAGGGTCGATCGCGCTCATGAGGATGACACCCCTTCTCCTACGCTCACCTGTATTCCTGGACATGACTTCCAACCCAACGTGACACCCGGTTGACTCGATACTCAAGACACTATATAGTTCGTGTCATCCGTCCTTGAAGCTGGCGTCGCAAGTGCAAACTCCCTCCTCAAGGTCTTCACGATCCCCTCTGCACCAACAGTACCTCGCCGTCAGCGCTTGAACAGTTCCTACTTGATACTGTAGGACCCCGTGTGCTTTAACACGGACTTTACCTTCTTCGCATCTGGTGCACGCTGCTGGAACGACCCCTGCATTCCCGGGTACGGGACATTCTCCCCCACTTGAAGTTTGCCGACCTCGGCGAACGGTGCACCGGAGGCGATGAAGTAAAGCCCGGGGAACAGAAACATTAGCAGCACGGTTAGGAACAGACTTATCGTCGTGATCTCGGCGGCAGCAAACGCCAGTACCATCGCGCCCGTATCATATGCTATCTTGAGACGCGTCGCCTGCTGGTACCACGCGAACACTTCCTTCTTGAGTACACTTGCTACCCAGATAACAGCATGGTTCACGATTCCACCTCCAACGTCTCGATCGTCGGACCTTTCATCCAGCGCGGCTAGTGGTCGCTTGAAGCGTTCCGAGCAAAACTCATTGTCACACCCCCTGCTCTCCTTGGCTACCTCCGTAACCATTCCATTAACAAGGGTACTCAGATCCTCCTTCATTGCCAACTTGGGGTTTGACGGAATTATCCTCATCACCTTCTCCATATCCAAGTCGTCTTCAACCTTGGTCTTCTTATTGCAACTGTTCTCCTTCCTACCCACATCGACGGGATCGCCCGCTTCGACCTCTCCGTAAGCGCTCCGATCTTCTTGCATCACACCGGTGGTGTTCCCTACGTCACGGTTAAGCGTGTTTCTCTTAAGCACTTCGTCGACGGGACCGTCCGCGTCAACGTCTCCATAAGTGTCCGGATATCCTTGCATCACGCCGGTAGTGCTCACTACATCACGGTTAGAAGTGAACTTCTTAAGCACTTCGTCGACGGGACCGGCCGCGTCGACTTCTCCATAAGTGTCCGGATATCCTTGCATTACACCGGTAGTGTTCACTACGTCACGGTTAAGCGTGTTCTCCTTAAGTACTTCGTCGACGGGACCGTCCGCGTCAACGTCTCCATAAGTGTACGGATCTCCTTGTATCACGCCGGTAGTGTTTACTACGTCACGGTTAGAAGTAAACTTCTTATGCACATCGTCGACGGGATCGTCCGCATCGACTTCTCCGTAAGTGCTCCGTTCTCCTACCGTCGCTGATGTAGCGTTCTTTGTGCATAGCACCTTCGCTTTGACTTCCTTGACCACAGTCAGATTGTTGCGACTCGAAATGCGACCCCGGTGGTCCTCTTCTTCGTTAGGAGTGTCGACTTCGAGGACCGAGCTAACCCACTTATGATGAAATTTGACATCACCTTCAGAGCCTACCGTCCTACTGTTCTTTTCGACGATCTCTTCCTCAGCGACGGAACGCTTTTCGAACCCATTTTGAAATATGCAGACGGACGAGCCGTGTTCACCACCCACCGCGGAATCTGTCGCGCGCGTGTTAGTGCCTTTGGTTGCGGGTTCTCGAACTTCGCCATCGTTCTTCATAGCAGGCTTCTCTGGTTCTTGCGCTACCAGTACCGTTCTCCTAACAGTAGCTACTTCAGCCAATTCTTCATAGCTATCTCCACTTATTGCTTCTTCACAGTCTTGCGATTAAACACTTAATGCACCAGGAGTGTTCTGGAACACTGTCGCATCGTATCTGGCAGACTCCATCTCCTTGCGAAGAAAGAATTGTTGTTGCACCCTTCCGGTTACTTTTTCTACCCCATATTCTCGTTCCCCACTCCAGTCTTCACGAGCACCTGGGACCATTGGCGCATTGTAATATACGGGCTCCGACCGTTCTCTGATCGATGACTGTTCTTGTTCCACTTCTTCAGTCACACGCGCTCCATTTATAATCGATTCACACACCTCCTGAAACGTTCCACTCACCCCGTGACGCGCTGTATACCGTTCTGCCAAATTGTAAGCGCTCCTCGATGTAAATTGGCTGGGTGGTGTCTGTGTCCAAATTGGCTGGGATGGGAACACCTTCTGAGTGTGTTGGGTTGGTTGTTCCAGCAGTCCGAATGCTGGTAGAAGTACTTGGCCGTTCGGTAATAGTAGATTGCCTCTGCGTAAGACACTTCCACCGCATACAGCAAGCGACGAATACAAATAGTGTGGAAGGATTACATGGACGCTGCCATCAGGCATCGTGACCACATCGACGATAGAACAACCACGGTACGACGGGATGGCACCGTCCCCGTGTTGTCGACTTGAAAACACGCATCCAGGACTGTTCCACCAGCCGATTGACGGCTGAGACTTCTCGGACCCCCAGCCCCAACGGTGCTGGGTCCACCTCGGATCTTCCATCTTAGTGGTCGTAGCTCGTCCAACTCTCACCAGACAACGCCTTCTCCAGCAAGCAGACTACCCTGCTTCTCCACCAAATGTTGCACTCCTCCTCTTCGCGCGGCGCCTCCGGCCGCGCGACTAACCAGGGTCGGGCAGTCCGCGGCTGTTTGTAGAGCGGGGCCTTGTGTGGGGCGAGCGAGGAGCGGGATGTAGTTGTAGAGCGGTAACGAGCAGTAAACAGTGAAAAGTAAACTTGGTTCCTTGTTCTTTGTAGTAGGTGGGAAATATACGACTGAGAAACTAATGCGCCGGGCTAAAACGGGGAAAGGGTCGATCGCGCTCATGAGGATGACACCCCTTCTCCTACGCTCACCTGTATTCCTGGACATGACTTCTAACCCAACGTGACACCCGGTTGACTCGATACTCAAGACACTATATAGTTCGTGTCATCCGTCCTTGAAGCTGGCGTCGCAAGTGCAAACTCCCTCCTCAAGGTCTTCACGATCCCCTCTGCACCAACAGTACCTCGCCGTCAGCGCTTGAACAGTTCCTACTTGATACTGTAGGACCCCGTGTGCTTTAACACGGACTTTACCTTCTTCGCATCTGGTGCACGCTGCTGGAACGACCCCTGCATTCCCGGGTACGGGACAATATCTTCGCTACTTCCCGCTGATGAAGCTCACCGACAAACCCTTCCACAACAAGGATCACGTAGCATGAGGAGAAAAAAAAGTAATGAATGATGTTATTGAGTCGTGCAACTCTTAATTCTTTGCTATTTGATCTGATAAATATAAAGTTAGTAATATACAAGGATGGCGTACTCACGTTAGCAATACTGGAGCGCATCAATGCAGCACAAAAGCGCTACTACCAGCGCACACGCGAAGCACGATTGTCCTATCAAAAGAGCGACGACGATAACAACAGTGAGCACATTCGTGCTTGCAAGCGGAAGCCCAAAATCGAACATAATCAAAGCGACAACGAAATTAGCACTGAAACCGAACTTACCTAATTAATTAAAAAAAAATCGAAGATAAAAAGTCAAGCCCAATATAGCCAATGGGATGGACACACGAATAAGCACTTGAAAACCCTACCCCAATAGCATTCATACGAATGAACTCGTTAGAAGGGTATGGCAATTAATTAATTAAAACCCATTTGTCGATGGCTACGATATAAAGTCAATCCTGATACAAAATTTCTAAAATATATAGTCATTTCACGAAGAAAAATATAGCGAACGATATATACAACGGCTATGTTTGCATACGAGCTTGAAGGTCTAAAAAGATTAAATATCCGAGCGATTAAATGGGGAAGCAGCTACCGAGTTAAGGTTCGCGGTAGGACCGGTAAGATGGTGTATGTGAGCAACTTATCGCGCACCAAAAACTTAGGGCTTGTAGCGAAGCAGTACAAGGTCAGTCTCAAGCGACTGGAGAAGAACTTATCCTCAGACTATAAGACTGACCCTCACTATCGCTTTTACAAGGGCAACACATGGAATCGCACCTATACGAAGGATTCCACCGTAGTGAGTTCTATGACAAGCTTGAAAACGTTCTTGAGAGTCAGACAAGTGCTTACAAAGTCAACATTGCCCTCGTCTATGTTCTTGTTAGCAAAACAGATGAATCTGATACAAGATACTTCCACCCAAATCTCAGTAATACCCCTGTGTTCAACACACCTGTTGCTATTAGCAGCAGAAGTGATGCTCGTAAGGTAATTTTGGAGATTCGGTCCATGGAACTGGCTGATAAACTTAATTACCCCAGATCTGGGCACATGGCTAAGGCCACACCGGGTTTAAGATTTTTCTGCATCATCGAGAGCAAGCATTAGGTGATAGCGAAGCAATAATCTCTAAAGTTATCCGTGCCATCAACTTCCCAAAGATATACAACAAATGCGTCTTCCATTGTATCGCCTTCCACAAGGATATTTACCTCCAGACTCCACAACGAAGCAGCTCAAACTCCACAACGAACGCACACTCTCCCATTGGTTAAAATACGTCCGTTTCAAAAGTTGTTTTTAGGAAGATAGGAGTACGTAGCTAGGCACAACATACAGGAATTCACGCTGGAGAAGTAAAATGCCGATTGACTTATTGGGAGAGTATGGCTACAACGATATTTCCCTCCACATTGCTTTCGCAAATGCTGATATTGCTAGGAAATTTATCAATGACTTTGCACTGAATACAAACAAGTCTGTACGGCTCGAGAACAACCCTGGAAACTACAGGAAATGGGTTTGTTCTGCGAGGGGCTGTCAGTGGTTCGTTGTCTTATCACGGAAACGAGTGAGATTAGAAACGAAGAGTAAACGTAAGCGACCGGTGACCAAGCTCAGCTTTGTTCCAGACAACTTTTGGTACACTTCGAAATTGAATCTTCAACATGCTCAATGCTGTTGTAGCACGGCCAACCCAAATAGAGGTCAAATCGAGCGCTTGGACGGATTTCGAGCGGCCATTTTGGAGGGCCATAGTTCGTCAAAGACTCGAGTTATCAACAATTTGGAGTCTGTCGAGCACATCAATGTTTCGAAGAAGCATTCTGTGCTTTACCGAGCTATCAGTTCTGCTTTGAGTAGATTGGAAAGCGATACAAACGAAGAATTCAAGGCGCTCCCAGCATACATGGCGTTGTTCGCAGAACAAAACGAAGGTTCGCATGTGTGTTGCCAGCTCGATGATTCGGGTCGTTTCTATCGTTCTTTTCTTTCAATCGGTCCAACTTTGAAAGTTCAGGACTTCCTGTGTGGGAGTGTGACGGAACCCACATGAAACACGAAAAGTATAATGGCGTTTGTTTGACATTAGTTGGAAAGGACGGCAACAAGAGGATTATACCTGTTGCTGTCGCGTACGTTCACAAAGAGACCATTGACAATTTTGTTTGGTTTTTTGCAAACTGCATTGCAGCAGGAGTATTGCTACATGACCGACCGACCTTCTCGGATCGTGGGAAACAGCTTGGCGCTCAGGAAGAGCTCCAACGTTTAGGCTTACACGTGCATCTCAAGTTTTGTGCAGTTCACATTCGGTTTAACACCGTCGACAAATTCGAGAAGGTCGATGTGAGAAAAGACAATGTCAATCAGCACATAATGCGCTTGCAATCGGCTCGCACAGTACGTGAATATGAACGGAACATCGAAACTTTGAAGGAGATGTTTCCGGTTGGAATACCGTCAGGTAGTGGTGGAAAACCCACGGAGGAATTTGTGTGGACGTACCTGCAGAAGATTCACCCGACTAGCTGGACAGTCTTGGGCAACAGTGATTTGAGCGAAGGTGAAACTGCGTGGCTCAAGGAGAATTGGAAAGATACGTCTTCTTATGGATCCGGCCTTCCTCTTTTTGGTGTGCGTTCAACCAGCGGAGTAGAAGGTGATAACAACGGCTTATCTTGGAAGCGAGCCCGCAACAACCTTGTGAATAGAGCTTTGAGAGCTTACTGCTTGCGAGCTGTAGAGAATCACCATGCTTTGTTAGAGACTGCACAAAGTTGGGTTGCTGAGCAATTTGACATCACACCACATGCTCAGAAGCTATTCGACGCCGAACAGAAGCATGTTGCGAAGCTTACAGTGTTGCCGTCTCAAATCGGCTGCTTTTATGTATTCGACCCATTTGACCGCAGCGATGTTGCTTCGGCAACGAAAATGTTTGAGACCAACATGATTTCGGGGAAATGTCGGCCGTGCCGCGTTTCGGAACAATTAGAAATTCCGTGTCGCCATATCCAGGCTGTTCTCTTTGACTTGGAGAGACGCAATCCTGGCAAGATTCCTGTGTATAATGTGCTACAGTATTTTCACCCAGCATATTTAGTCCGCAACATGCGTGTTGCAATGTGTGCGGTGAAGATTAGCTTGCCCGTTAATGAAATGACGACCGCAAGTAGTTATGTGTTACCAGCACCACGTTACCGACAAGCTGGAGGAACGCGCAGAGCTAGAGTTGGTGACAATCAGCGGGGTGAAAAGCGGATTCTTAGTAGGGGCGAAGAGGCCAAGCTGCCGTCCACGAAGCAGCAATGCACAGATGCGATAGTTGAAGAAGGGTACGATGAACACGATGCTACTCCTACCATTTACAAGTTTTTCGCATCCAACATCACGTCTGCGAGCACACCAGACAGAGGTGCATACTACTGCACGAAGTGCAACAAGCCTGGGCACAACGCAAGAACATGCAGATTTACAAGCCAGGAAGTCGAAGAAGCAGGAGTATTGATTGTCCCTGGTGTGTACGTGCTTGGGGAGTCACCGCTGAAAGCTTGCAGATTGTCGCCAACGGTGTTGAGCACGACGGATAGCGAGTTCTTGTGATATCATGCTGGATATCATAGGTAAGGAACGTTTCACAACACGGAGTCGTATTAGATGAGGCTAACCAGTGCAAAATAATGCTAACGATACCTTGTTGACTCTTGCCAGGTCTTCTTTAGGAATATTCGCTGCGGATATACACGTCGGAGAATTAAAAGAAGCAAAACCAAGAATCATTGCCAGCTGAATTACCAAACCTTTATACCTTTTCATCCAGACGTCAAGCACCACCTTCCTACCTCGTTGAAGATCGGCATCTCCTCCCTCAACTTTAAACGGCACGAGGCTTTGTTACCACACCATTGACCGCCAACTCATGGGTGCCAGCGGAGATGACGAGCTCTCGAGCAGGAAGATTCAACAATGGCAGAAAACAATAACTCAAAAACTCAATAACCTCGTCTCATATTCTCTTTCCGTTACCATCACCGCTGCAAGGTTGATCACCTTCAACTCATGACTATCAGTAGCAGGGATCAGGGGCAAACATTTACGGAGACAGCCTTCTCGGCAAGCATGATGGTCAGTGTAATCCAAGAGCAAGCGATAAAGAGCTCTCATGTTAAAGTCACTGCAAATATGCTGTGGCTTGCCCACTTTCCATCCAGTGTAAACGTATTTCCGATTCACAAGGTACGACACAACTGCGTATAAGTCCAGCACATTCATATTTAACCTCAGCGCAGAATTTAATGCAATCAGTACTACGTACTCTGTCTTGACTGATGCGGTGGACCCACGAAGAATCGTCGCCTTGATGGTGCAGCGCAGGAGCAGCACACCCCATATTCCCAGCTCATAGCACTCCCAACACATTAGACTAGGTCGAATCGCCCCACTGCACGCGACTCCAGTCCGGATGCGCCAGGACACAGCGTCATATCTTCACGAGCTCCAGCAGCACGTCCGGGCTCCAGTTGCGGCCACTATCGGGCAACAAGTCCTCTCCATCGACCTTTACGTCCTGCAGGTCCGTCATGGGCGGCGGCAGGACTTCTGTTCCGAAAAGGGCTGCTGCAGCTGCAACGATGCATGCTGGAACGCGACGACAAGGTCATGTGTACGGTGGTCAGTCTTTTTGTAAATGGCAAGCAACACGTGAGAGAAATGAAACGGACGTATTTTAGCCAATGGGAGAGTGTGCGTTCGTTGTGGAGTCTGGAGGTAAATGTCCCTTTCAGAAGCGGGACGAACCAAAAAAAGGCCTTTTTTGTCTCTGTGCGCTGGATGTAACCTCCCGTTCCGCCACGGAGAATTCAGGCTTTGGTAAAGCATGCTTTCAAGCAGTATTGCTCTTTCAAGGGTATTAACTATACCCTAGTGTTTTACCGAACGTTCAAGCCTATTGATATTCTCCAGTTCGATGAACTTGAGGAATGTTTCCAGCTTGGTATCAACGTCTTCACAATGGATATTGATTATTGAAAAGTTGATTGCATTCGGCTTTCCGACAAAGAGTACGATTCGATTAACATTCTCTCACACGAGAATCATGCTCTCTACATCAAAAACTTGGATATACTTCAGCGTAAATACCAATGTGGAAAATGTGATATGGTTTCGCCAGCTCAGAAAGGCTTAAAAATCATATTATCAATAAATGCGAGCTTGTCAATAATGAGTCGTTCCCAGCTCAACCAACGATTTATCGACCGGCTTCGAATACCATTGGTTCAATGCTTAAGAAGTATTATATCAGGAATGTTGAGCAGTACGTGGATCACTTCACCGTCTATGACTTTGAGGCCATTCTAAAGCCTACTGGAGTCAAGCACGAGAAAAATACTGTCTTTACAAACGAGCATATCCCTGTATCCGTATCAGTAACCGATAGCTTAACCGAGGAAGTGCATTGTTTCGTCAATGACAATCCGAATGCTTTGCTAAAAGAAATGTTTGAGTACATTGAATATATAGGCGACAAGACTCAGCGATACAACGTCTCCAAATATGAGACGTTGCTTCGCAAGATAATTAATGCCCATGTTTTAGCTGGTATTGAGATCCCGGGAGTTCAACCTGGTATCAAGTACAACACTGGTGATATCGATAAGTGGATTAAGGTAGGAGATTTTGCGAGCTTCTTCGATTTCCATAGCAAGATCGGCTTCGGAAAGAAGCGTTCCGACTATCTAAAGCTAAAGTAGACCATCGATCAGGTACCAGTTCTTGGTTTTTAATTCTGGTAGATATGATATTAACCTTATCAAGAGCGACTTGTTTGCCGTGATTGGAACAGACAATATCAAATCAGTCATCAAGAACCTATCTTACATGTGCATCGCGACTTCGAATATGAAAATGCTTGACATTAGCACCTACGTTCCTGCTGGAACCAGCTATAGCAAGTACCTCAGTACATATCTTGGGAACGGTAAATGTGATAACAAAGTTTGATGCGTCTGTGGGCTTGGTAAGGGTATATTTCCGTACGAGTACATTACTTCATTCGATGTACTCCATGAAACTGAGATCCCACCAAAATTAGCGTTCGATAGTAAACTTCGAGGTACAAGCATCAGCGATGGGGACTACAAGCGAGTTCAATGCGTCTGGGAACACTATGAGATGAAGTCGATCAAGGACCTACTCATTTTGTACAATAACCTCGACGTAGTCCCATTCATAAAGGCTATCCAGGCCCAACGCGAACTATTTAAACGCTTTGACCTCGACATGTTTACCGATTGTGTATCCCTTCTAGGGCTTTTGGAGAAGGATATGTATCAGACTTGCTTCAAGAACCTCGAGCACCGTACGAAAATTCTGATAAAGCTCTCAGCTTTCCAGCTAAACGTATGACTGGATACAAGACCCAGGATGCTGATGCAGTACGCGAGTTCATTATGAGTCTCAAACATCTCAACAAGCTTCTACTTCAGCAACCATACCTGTGTGGACTGTGCTACAAGCAACTAACCGTAGATACAGCATCCGCCGATCGAATCAACAACAAGCTTGGCCATATCGATGGCAATATCTGGATCAGCTGCGTTGAGTGCAATGTTGCTCGCAAGGATATGTCTCTGAAGGGGTTTAATACAAAAACTGGATTTCAACTCGGTCAGGCTAGTATATAGCATCAGCAAGGTGGAGAAATATATCTATGCTAAGATGAAGCATACCATTGCGGGAGGACCATCTATCATCTTCAACAGGTATGCCAAACGCAACGAGACAACGATTCGAGGTGGTAAACTCTGTTAGAAGATCATCGGATGCGATTCCAATGCATTATATCTATGGGCATTCGGCAATGAAATGCCATGCGGTCGATTGACTACGATTGAAGCATATCCGGGTATTATCGAAGACATCAAGGCGGACAAAGTATTCGGATTCCTTGCGTGTGACATCCGTACTCCCAATCACCTAAAGGAGTACTTTAGTGAGATGACACCGATCTTCAAAAATGCTCTTATTGATTGTACAGATGAAAATGTTATTGGTTCCCACATGTTTATCTATAACGAGGCCCGCAAGCGAAGTAGAGCCAAGCCAGCTCGCAAGCTGATTGGAAGCTTCTTTGGGGATAAATTTCTCATATGCACCTCATTGCTTAAGTGGTACCTAGCGCATGGAATGGAGAGCACAAAACCTTATCGCTTTATCAAGGACAGTTCCCACAAATCATTTTCTCCATTTATGGAAGCGGTATCAAACGCTCGACGTGACGGTGATGCTGATAAATCCAAAGCTATGATTGCTGAGATGATGAAACTTGTTGACAACAGTGCTTTTGGTCTCAGTGGCATGGATATGAGCAAACACAAGGAAGTCAAAAATGAATCAGACGATAAGGCAGTAAAGTCTAAAATTGAACACTTCACCATCCACGGATTGGAGGAGCTCAACGATTCATGTGAGACCACTATGAAAGAGCGACGTATCCAAAACAAGAATCCTATTCATCTAAGCATTGCTATCTACCAACTGGCCAAACTTCGCATGCTACAGTTCTACTACGATTGCATTGACTTCTACTTCGATAGGTCCGACTTCCAGTATCAGGAAATGGACACACACTCAGCATACATGGCTTTCAGCTGCGATAATCCTTTTTAGAACTGCATTAAGCCTGAGCTGCGTGATCCCTTCAAATAGAACAAATACGATTGGTTCCCTCGCGACTATAATTTCAAGGTAGCAAAGTTCGACCGTCGCACACCCGGTTTATTTAAAGATGAATGGACAGGTGATGCTATGGTATCGTTATCATCTAAGAACTACATCTACTACCTACCTGATGAATCATACAAGGTCAAGGTTTCAGCCAAGGGTATTCAACAGGGAAATTCTCGCAATGATGATGTACTTGACCCAGATGGATTTGAACGGTAGTACGTGATCGTATCACACTAGAAGGTGCTAACATTTCGACTAAGTAAAGCAACGAACTCATGAATGAACTATTACACAAGCTTTACTATGACCCGAAAACAGGTTATATCGGTGCCCAATCACTATATCAAAAGGCAAATCCCTAAAATAACTCTGAAAATTGTTAAAACAGGGTACCAAAGTCAAGCTGATATACAACGATTTCAAGACCAAATGAAAAGATTTGATGGCTTCAAAATTACTTCCCTCATAAACTCGCTTCTGTTATCACTCGTAATGATATCCACTTTATATAGGCGTACAAATGTTTTAATTGATGCTAACACTACTTAAGCATTCTTGCTAGATAGAAGCTTTGCATACCCAATCCGAGAGTTGATGTTCACAGCAGTTAGTACCGGTTGCTTCTCCCGAAACGCGAGATCGATTTGCCAAGAGTTGGGATTGTAATGCACAGTTTCTGAAATATTTTAAAAACAAAATATTGATCATTTTAACAATGAGCCTGGGGACCATGGGACTATGGGAAACATTGAGAGATTTAGAAGGACCATTAAACAGAGACTAACAAAGATTTCCCCACACGTATATACCAGAAGCTAGTCAGTGATTTCATCAAAACCTATAACTCCACATTCCACCGGTCAACAGGTATGACCCCCAACGAAGCTATAGGGAAAGTTATGGAGTCAGATCTAAAACTTAATCAAAAAGAATCTGATAAGGTTGAGAACGCGTTTAAGGTCGGTACTCACGTTATTTGTCGTCTAAAAAACTAAGGAAGCGGTTAAATGGAGT